TGTAGATACTCACTAATAGTACTGAAGTCAAAACATAATAGTTAGGTAAGTATATATTCCTAATGTATAACAGTGACTTCACTGTTATACATTAGGAACCTGTACATTTCTAAACGCTATTATTTTTTTATCCGATATACTACCCTATAGACACAAGTAATCCAAGTCTTCGTTTTTCCATAATATTAAAAAAAAAATGACCAAAAAACTTAATAAACAATATTAAATGTATTACATATATTGTACGTATAACATACATTAATATTATAGTTATCAGAATATACTATTTTTATTATTATATAATATTTCACCAAATGAAATGTTTTGTAAGTATAAATCAAACCACCCTATTGGTATACGTCACCATTACCCTGACCTTTAAATAGTCAGTGACGTTCCCCATAAATACATATAGCTTATGTGCCATTCGATATATTTGTTACATACCTACACGGCTATGTGATTATGACAAATTTTAATGACAATGATGAAAAAGATTCAATTATATTATATTGAACAATGGAAAAAATAATCCCTTTTTGTTTTCCGTATGAATTATATACCTACAACATTTTTTGAATTTTTGGCGATTGTCATTTAAATGCAATATATAATTCTATATGTAATATTATTATTAGATACTATAAACTACTTACATGTTATAAATATTACAATAATATAATATCTTGACAAATATTCATTTATTATTATCGTGTAGTAAAGACAAAATTTGGTGCTCACGAATTAGTGTTTTTCGGTCATTGATTTTATATATTAAAAACAAGTTATTCTAATTTCGTATTCCATATTTAATCACCCTCATTTTTAAAGAAAAACTCTACGTAAAAGAGTTTTATCAAAATTTATAAAATTACTGTTTTATATTACTTTTTAGTTTTAGTTAAAATTTGATAACTCATGGTAAGCCCAATTTAAGATAACAACAGACTAATATGTGTAATGAAAATACCTACAATATGCGTGTAGAAGTTAACATGTTTACTATTTTATATTACAGACGATAGTAATAGATTAATTTCTTTTACGTATTACTTATTTTAATAATATTTTTAATTGTTCCCTATTTTATCCAATTGATTATCCATTTTAATCAAACATGTGGCTAAAATGGAGCAAAACACAATTTTTTAAAAGAAATTAAAAACAAAAAACTTTTCTGAGGACTTCTCAAATTAAAAATATAAATGTTTAGAGAAAATATAATAGAAAATCTTTCACGGTTTAAAAAAAATTTGTCAAGTTCAATATATTTTAAAGGATAGGAAGCTAATTACCTTGAGGGTCCTCATAATACCCAACCTTCTCTATTAGAAACGTGTATTTGTAGAGATTTAAAACTTATGTCTGCACTTATTATTCACATTTTTTATTATATGTATAATAATATTATAATTAATGCGTTTTAAAGTCATTTCATTATAGAAAGAATATTATTTTAAACCTGTTCCGATTCGCCCTTCACTATAATAAAATATTTATATTCACTATATAATATACATAAGTACTCCTATAGCTATTCTAACTAATGGTAATTTTTTGGAAACTATTTAAAAATCTTACATTATTATAGAACGATGTACGAATCGCATAATCAGTACAGGTTTAGTAAAAAAAAACATGCGTTAGGCGAGTGATAAAAATAAGCAATTCGCAATAGTTATTATGTAATGTACATACAATTTCAAAAATCAATATTTATTATTTGTGCCAAGTAAAGAATGAAATGTATTGATTTTATAATAATGTTTGTATTTTTTAATTTTTTTTTTTCTAACCAAACTTTGCTTCAAATCGTTATTCTTATCGTTATGACTTGTCGCTGCTTACAAGTAAGCATTAAGTAGCTATTTATGTATTCCACCTTCTTAATTACTCACCTACAACAGTAGTCACACTCGTCCCCAGTATCAGCTCACCTTCATTTTGTATCTATGAACACCTTTTTTATCCGAAATCTTGCAACAAAAAAAAAAACGACAAGAGAGCTTTTTTGTAGGAACTATGAGGTATTTTTTTAATTTTCCTAGTAGTTTTGATAATAATTGAGAAAAACGGATCATAAAAGCAGTTTCATTATTTTTAAATTCAAAGCGCAAGCGCGCGAGGAACGTATTGGTTTTGGAATGATGTTTACTTTTTATTTTTTTTTTTTGTATTCTGTGAACAACTTTTCAATCAAAAATTTTGTTCAGATATATCAAATTTAGAACCTTTTCTAAACATTTTTTTTTTTAAAGTGATTTTCATAATAAAACTGGCTAAAAACTAAGAAAAAACGAGAAAATTTATGAAAGGTATTATTACCAATTTTGTTTTTTTGTTGTAATTCAGTTTAAAATATTCATAGATCCTTGAAATGTCCACAGAACACTTATATTAGCCTTTTCTAACAGTAGTAAATTATTTAAAATACTCAGGCGATATTTAATTTTACTAATTTGTCAAAAAAAAAAAGTTGAGTAAACTCAACTTTTTTTTTGTGTAGATGTGTAGATGTGCAATAGGTTTTCTTTTTATACATGTTTAAGTAACCTAATTTTGCCCACAATCATAATTCGTTAGTAACGATTTATTATTGCATATACAACATGTAATACACATAGGTATACAAATAAAATATTTTCTCGTCTCCCCCAGAAACTTTCGGCAGATCCATTAATTTTCTATCCCTATTTGTGCTACTCATTATTTAAAAAATAATCCTTGAAACTGACTAATGAGGACCCGTTATTTCTTATTCGATTTTTTTTTATTATTATAATTTTATATAAAGGTCTATTATTTATTGTCTTTTGAATATTTATTTTTAATCAACAAATTTATGGTATTTCTATTTGTAATTTTTTACTGTCTTTGAATTAGGTTAATCCCGTATATTGATAATAAACAAATAATTTCATGTATCCTATATTTTCCCAATTTCCCACCTGTAACAGTTGTCACACCCACCAGCAGTATCAGCTATTTTTTTTATTTGTATATTATACAGTGTACCAATTATTGAGGCATTCTGCACGCTTCCTTAATGTTTCTTCATCTATCTCGAACTATTGCATATTTTTTATTTACATAATATGTAAATACTCGTTAACTTCTGAGTTCCTATATTTTCTTGCCCTATACAACCATAATAGGAGATTCCGTAGTTATCTGGTTCTTGGTCATTTTGTTAAATTTTAACAGGGACATTTCGTGTCCCTGAGACTTCTTCCATTCTGCCAAACATAACCAGCCAATTCCAACAGTTTTTCCCTTCGGAGCATTCTAATATTTGGTTTGTTATAAAACCTTTTTATTTCGGCATTTGTTCGTCTCTCGTATTCCCTCTTTTAAAATTACACAGATTCGTGAATTTTCCCCTAAATTTTTCTTTTAAAGGTAATTTGTCTTCGCCTCCCTGTGTAGTCCATCATATGTCTACATCAGCGGTTCTCAAAGTGTGTGTCGTGGTGCACCGGGACTTCTCGGTGTCTGTAAATGGGCGCCATGTAACCATTTAAAATATTTACTGGTCTAAAAATAAATTTAAAACCCAGATGACAGCGGAAATAGTGAGTACAGTTTCTTTTTAGTTAAAAAATATTGATTATTATATTTTAAAATCAAAAAATGCTATGTGTTTATGCCATCTGTGAATTATGATTATGATTTATGATAGAAGGAAAAAACCAAAATAAAGTTTACTCGAGTACCTAGTCATATACATAAAATAAAATAATAATAATAAATAACGCTGTGTCCTTATATACAATAATTATTACCCACCATGTTTTTAAGATACATACACATCTCGATTATAAAACTCAAAGCATCCAGAATACGGTAACTTTGAGTTAAACCGAAAGTTATTTTAATACAAAAAAAAACACAATTTTCGGGTAAAAATACATATAAACGCCCCTCGAATGGTTCAAATGTGTTCCGTCTTGCATAATGATACCGTATATTGTATATATATGTATATGTATGTATATATAATGTTCGTACGAGTTTGTTTATATCAGTTGTTCCCTATCTTTGTACTCCCCTTGCATAGAGACCCAATACGTTCGTTGAACTTGAAACGGCACTCTGGAGATTACTTCACCAAACGGATGATATTGGTGCGGGGAATTTCGGTCAAAACTACCGCTTAGGGAATTATTTTGTTTAAAAGAAAATAAAATAAATATATACGGTCTGATAGTAACCGCACGAGCGATATTCGTCCAGATAGTATATAATATTATATATTATGTTATTTGTAAATCTATAATTATTAATATTGACTGATAAATGATAATATTTAGTGAACAAGCTATTAAATAGTATGATCTTATATGTTAGAAACGATTATCAGCAATTATATATTGATTTTTCAAATATTGTGAGTTATTATATCGATAAGACATTTTGAAGAACTTAACTAATATATGTACACAAATATTAAAGTTCTGAACTGGTTCAAACCATCACGGCGATTTGAATAAATAAATCGAACAATGTACATGTATAAATAATGGCCTGATAAATTTGAAAGTTTGACAAAAAATCTGTATACATAAAGTTTTTAACAATGATGAACCGAGAAATATTTATTATAAACCTATATATTATGTTTTAACGTCTACAGAAACATTTTATTGTTTTTTATTTTAAAATAAAAGTTATCATTTAAAACAAAAATTAAAATATTACATAAAACATTTTTTTTTTTTTTAATATTTAATAATAATAATAATAACAATAATAAAAGTGTACATAAAAAATAACAAATAATAGCAACTAAAAGTAGGTACCTAAACTATAAATTCTTATATCTTTTTCAAATTTAAAAGCATTTAGAGAAATAAATTACTAAAAAAATACTACGTATATATAATATTATCTCTTTTTTTTCGGTTTTTTTATTATTTTTATGAAACAAAATAGTTTTATAAAATTGCAACAAACTCAATATTCATCATGTACAAATAATATAATGTATAATAGCATTTATGTTTATAAATGGGGGACCTATTCACAAATTAATCGAAAATCTTTTTTGTTTAAAAATAATAAAAATCCATTAAAATTTGATGTATTGATTTGAGAAATAGCCTCCAGAGCAAAAACTGTACACTAATAAAGTAGATTAGTAGTACAATACTACGCCTATTTATTAATTTATTTAAGAAATAAGAAAAAGTTAGAGCATAAATATTGAATGACTACCGACAGGAAGAAGGCCGTGAGACAGACTAAAGAAGCGGATGGTATGGAATGGTATTTATGCATTCAACAATAATAGGAAGGAGTGAATACAGGACCATGATTATTGGGGGTCGGTAAGTTGTAAGCCTACATGGGATGATAATACATTTTTCTGATAAAAAAAAATATTCTGTTTTACGATAAAAAACTAAAATAGAAATTGTGATTTTATAAATTAGGTACATCAACTAAACACTAGTATAAAAATAGTAAAAAATGTTTATATTATTATTGAAACTATTAACTATATTATGTATAAGTATAAAGAATAATATATACAATATATATATAATACATATATTTATATTTAAAATCGAAAATTAATCACGAAATGAGTGTGCATATTAAATAGAACAACACCTGTATATTATATTTATAAGAGTATATTATTTTCTTTAAATATTAATTTATATTTTTTGTTCTTCATAAGCTATAAATATGTTTTAAACGTATCTGAAACACCTTCTTTGGTCAATAGAACCTTGCCCCAAGGAGTTAAATCGTACCCTCTTTCCGTATACAAAAAGGGACCAAATATTACTCTTCCTAAATTGCTTTCGTTCCTTTTTAAAAATCCTTTTTCTTTCAACCCAATTACTATATAACCATTTGTTGCGGAATTTAAATCCAGCCGAACATCGACTTTAAATTCATACGTCGCCTTAGGATCGTTTTTTAGGTTCGGTACTGATGGTGATTGATATTCCTTGGTTCGTTTGCCCTTGTTAAAATAAGCAATTTTCACAAAAGTTCGGGATTTTTCTAAAATAAATACATAATTTAATTATTTTAAAAGGTACATAGGTATCTATATTAAAATAAATTTAAGTTAAGTTTTAATTTATGCACTGCAAAATTATTAATAATATTATTTTACTAACCGTGAGGCAGATTTAAATTATTAGCTTCGTGAACGACAATATGCAACGTTTCTTGTTGTTTTTTATAACTTAAGCTGATATTTAAATTGCAATGGTTTAAATCAGGCTAAATTAAATAAAATTAAAATAGATAGGTATGTATTACTGTATAATTTATTAGTGGCCTGCAGTGGTAACCAAACTATAATTATTTGGTGTAGCAGAATTGGAAATTCAAAAACACCACTCATCTCAAAAATTTTTATTCATATAAATATATATTTTTCAACCCCTAAGACCTACTACTTTGAATTTTAATACTCGTTCTACCTGACTATCCCAAATTCCAATTACCAGGAACATTCACCTATCCAAAATGTGATATGTAACAACTGTATTTAAATTTTTTTCTGGAAGATGATAACCAAAAAACAACCTTGTCCCTAATATTTTAGATTCTAAGCATAACAGATATATGTGTCTGCGTGTTTTTTTCTCACTGTTTTACTTCTCTAAAAAATGTTCTACAAGAAATCTTGCTCCTATCATCAACTTCAATAAGGGATGATCCTGATAGAAAACTTTTTCTAGTTGGTGCATTGGAAGGAAGGGTAAATTTTTATTCTCCTTGTAGTTTTCTTTATAATTGAGAAAAACCGGAAAACAACGAGGAAATTTACACAATAATGGTTTCCGTTATTTTTGATTTTATTTTTTTGTTGCAATTCGGTTAAAAATAACCGTAAAGATCTACTGTGTTCACCTAATACTTATATTAGCTTTTAGACCATGCAGTATTACAAAAATTAAAATTGATGTTGGTTAAATAAATTATGATAAAACAGAAGACGAATTTTGACCACTGTAAGTACACCGCTGTAAATTAATTTTATAATATATTTATTATTTTTCGACATACCCAAGAATTTTTGTAAAGTTTAACGCTTTGTGCCCCGTCGTTACTGGGCGTTATGTTATCCAAATAAAATAGAGCATGGCCAACCGCATCATATTTCCCTTGATATTCGTGATCAAAAACAGATACCCTAAATACCGTATACATTTTACAACATAAAAAAAATCCATTAAAATGTAATTTACCTACCTCAGAACTTTGTTTGCAATACACTTGGTACTTATAAAGAAATCTTCGTTTACAACGGGACTCATAGCGGCTGCTATAGTTTTACTAGTTTTTATGGATTTTTCCTGGGGCAACAGTGTAAGTTTTAAAACCGTCTTATAAGGTCGTTTATCTTTTCCTTTCGGCGCTAATCCATCCAGGTTGTCCACACGAACAAACAACCTTAAAATTAATTTTTCAATTAAAACTAGCTCCTAGCATATTACCTTTAGAAATATTATAAACTTGCATAGTCGTATATATCTTTAAGGGAATAAAATTAATGAATAATAAACATATTGATCCTAAACTAATTATTACGTACATTTTATATACAACAAAAAATATACGCATGCAATATACACATATAATATACGTGTTCGGTGTGTATGTAGACCGTGTAAAGGAAATAGAGTTTGTATTTTTACTGATAACACTTACTTTTTCGTATGTTGATCGTAAGTTATTTTAAAATTAATGTTTCCATAAGCTTGTTCTTGGTGTGCATTTGGATCGACGGGAGGAGCGTTGTCCACCGGTGTTATCCAAGTGTTCGAAACCGCTTCGGTAGACTTTGATCTTATAGACGTTAATCTACTAGTGACATTATACATAGACGTTGCCACTGAGCCAAAACGATGAGGACGTGCAGATGGGTTTGCAATAGCGTCATCGGCGCTTTTCAACGACAGCGCAAAACTATCAGAATCTGTAGTTGACGTCACATCCTAAAACGAAAGATCATAATTTACTATATACATTATTATTTAATTAGAAAAACATAGCATTTTCTTTACCTGCATACTTTGAGATTTAAGCCAACCTGTGGTTTCTTTGCACGAAGCAGGAGAAAGATAGTCCATTTTGTCTTCTTTTTTGGAAAATTCTTTCTTACTCGATGTTAAACTCTTAAAAAATAAAAATAAAACATAATAACAATTAAGAATTTATAATGCCAAAATAACTGAAAATAGTAGATATTTATATTAAGTTATAGAATCAGTTGTATTGATTTTGCCATCGAGTCCAATGATACCTACTTCAGTAATCAATATTACCATACAGACACCATAATTAACAATTGTCGCTGAACTTCTCAATTGTATAGAATATTTGAATATAACTACATTGATACCGTTCATGAATGAAATTACGTGAAATGATGAATTACGTGGTTAAATAGTCAATTTAAGGAATTCACAAATAATCATCTTGTGGGTAGGTATATGGTAGCTGAAAGTGATAGAAGAAATCTCCTATCTCTATAAATCTCTATAAAGAATCTCCTGAGTCATTTATAGTGTATTTGAATATTAAATGTATAATAATAAAGAGCTCACCAAGTCCGGTGTAGAAGTAGAACCAGCTCCTGCTGTAATGGGTTGTAACATCATCATACTGACACCGGCAAGAGTTTGAAACGAGTTGGGCGTTTTTGGGTCTTTGGTTTTATTCATCGCTTTACCCCATTTTGCTTTTTTTTTCATCGATTGTGTTTTCGGAGGAGGATCTTCGTCTTCGCCATCACTCGTAAATCCGGAAACGGAAAGCCCATCCTCGTCGTGTGAAATATGTCGACCAAAACTGTAATATATATAATATGTTAAAGACCATAACTGATGTTAAATTGCATTTATATTGTATAATATGATGTAAGCTCTTTTCTTAATATTATTTGATAACTACCAACCTCGATATCTTTTGGACGGTATAGTGTTCGGTACTTCCAGCAATCGAGTTTCCATTTTCCAACAGTCCCAAATTTAGGCCCACTTCGTCGCGTCGACGTCGGAAACCGAAATAAAATAAACAACATCGATAACAACTCTTGAACATTTCAGAACCACTCTGCAATAAGTTTTAAACGTATAAGTATATTTATATTCTTGTCAAAAAGGTTTTTTTTTTAAATTATTGAACCATCTGTTATTGATAGCGTTTTAAACGAACGAAAAGCATTATAATACAGATACTAACCTTAGCCGAATTAAAAAACATTTTTTAAAAAATCAGTCATTATAAACAAAGCAGTTATTCTAATCTAACCTATACAGATACATACAATTTTTTTGTCAAATTCAAGTAGTTAGGTAAGCACACGGAATTTTTAAAATAAAAAGAAAGATTTGATTTGTTTTAATTATATAGATATCTATACCGGCTAGTACGCACGAATTTAACTGTATTCTAGGTGTATTCTCTTGGAAATCGTTTTTGCTATATGAAACCTCAATAGACAGATGTTTCGGTCAACTGTGTAAACAACATATTATAATATTATATGCAGGCGAACATTAGCGTAGGCCCCTATCGGTGTTAAAAAAAAATATACACTACCAAGTATACCATGTTTATCAGCATAGGAAGTAGGTACCTATATCTTTTTGCAGTAATAATATTTTGTATTCCATTCAAATCATATTATTATATAGTATAACCTAAATTAATATAATACTTTTTTTACATATCCACATATTAATTATATAATAAATATAAAAATACTTAAAAAAAAAAAAAAAAAAATAGTTTTTAATATAGCGCATTGTTAAGTTGACATTTCATTTTTATCGGTTTAACGTTTCGCTTTTCATTATAGTATAACATACTCGTATAGGTAGGTACAGTATTCGCCTATGTATAACTTAACCTATATAATATATTATATATGTTACCCAACTACCTACTTTATATATTTTTTATTGACACAGTTTTCAAAATATAATCTTAATCTCTTACAAACTTCGCTTTAATATATTATAATATAGGCCCGGCAAAACTTCAAATAAAAATGAATTTTTTTATAACACTTTAGATTTTCCTTCGAGCCAATAATTCTTCGAACATCTTGCTCGTGATCGTAATAATTTGGTATATCGTAAATCTATTTCTATATTCTAGATTTTATATAGATAATATGATATGATATATCGCCTATCTAATGATCACAATTTGAAATTCTATATTAAAATTGAATCATTTGCTAATAGAAACGCGTGTATAATGTTAGGTACCTAATAAAATTATAATGGCATATTTTATTTGATCAGATCTATATATAGGTACGTATATTCGATATTATTAACCATTAAGAGGATGTCGTACCTACATGTGATGCTGTTTCCGTCATACAACCACGCGACATAGTAAATTTTTGTTCAGCAGAGACAACTTTGTGGTGTTAGTTTTAAAATTGGAGTGGACTGACCTATTAACAAACTCGAAAATATGAACATTAACTGTGTCGTATCGTCGATTTGTTTGTTATTTTCATCTTTGAGTAAGTTATAAGCATTTTTCAACCGTGATATTTCACACGATCATATTTCACGTAAAAATTAAAATAATGAAAAAAAAAACAACGAGTCGATACAGATAATGTTCATACCAAAGTTTGATAATAGGTATATTTACTCTAATTTTAAAGTTTAAAGCACAAAGTTGTCCCTGGTGAACGAAAATTTACTATGTCGCGCGGTTGTATAACGGAGACAGCACATGTCGGTCCTCTTAAATTAATACATCCAAATAGGTACCCATGTATCAATTATTATTATATTTTAGATGATGAAACATGAACAAATCATAAACGTTATTCTTATTTAATATGTTATAACTCATAAGTATTGATTGTTGAACACTGATTTTTTTTGTTTCATAATGTTGTGAGCTATGACATATATAATAACAATAATAAAAAAGAGCTGATACAGTCGAACTTGGTTAACTCGAAGTTGAAGGGACCGGAAAAAAATTAGAGTTATCCAAATTAAAATGTTTTAAAACAGTACAAAATATATTGATTTTTTTGTCACGTGTCTGTTTAAACCATTTGTAAACGCACTCCTCAACATCAGGATTTTCCGGTTCTCTAGCTCTTCCTCTGCCCTTTTTACTGAATGTAGCCAACTTATTTAAAATTGTTTCTTTATTTTTAAGATAAGTTGACAAAGTGTTAAGTGGAATACCAAATTCTTTAACTATCAAAGATTTTGTTTTCAATTCATTTTCAACTTCTCATATCGCTGCCGCTTTTTCCTCGTATGTTAGCGTTTGTAGCACGCGTTTTGATGACGATATTACGAACGAAAAATTACCTACGATCTCGTTGAAACGAACACAGAGCACTGAACACTGAAGTCATACATTGCCGTGTAGTCAACCAGTTAGATAAACCACTTATCGGTAACGATAACACTAATGAGTAATTATTAATGAGTAACCTTATTTTCGATATTAAAATATATACATTTTATATACATACACAATTGTACAATATTAATTAAACTCAAAACTTCGAGTTTTCCACGAAAATATTCGAGTTAAACAAGATTTGTTCACATTGTTTAAATATGAAATTCTAGGAACCCGAGAAAAAGCTCGAGGTATCGACGATTTCGAGTTAAATAAGTTCGAGATATTCAAGTTCGACTGTACTGGGGACGGGCGCAGCCACTATTGTAGGTGGGAGTTTGAGAAGGTAGGATACATAAGGTTATTTCATTTATATCTCTAAACAACAATAAACCTTTGCTGACAAAAGACGATTTCGAACGCATTTCGGTTATACATAATTTGAGAAGATAAAATTTACTTTCAGAAAAGGTGCTGCACTTATACATCGGAGCAAGTTTTCTAGGATAAAAGTGGTCTATAGTATAGAAAATAAAAAAATAAAGTATCATTGTAAAAAAATTAAAAAAGGAAAAAAAGTTGTCCGATGATTTTGGAAATTTTACCACGTCTAGATAAGTCCAATATGAGTATTATTACCAGGTTTCAAGTCTCTACGTGTATATATATAATCGAATTACAGCAAAAACTCCTAAAAATTGAAATTCCTTAAAAGCTCAAAAGTTTTCACAATGACACCGTAAGAAAGTAAACCAAAAAGGCAACAAAAAAGTTATCTTGTGATTTTTCGATTAAATCATTTTTTCTAGTAAAATTCGTCGTCCGTGTTTTTATAAAATAATAAAATCGTGAAATTGTACGTTTTCCTAAGTTTTTTTTCCACTAAAGTGCTTTTATTTAAAAAATAGCACCGACAATCAAAAAATGAACTCTCTAACGTACAATCTTAACAACTTGAGCTTTCAGAAAAAGTGCTGCTACACTTAAACATCGGAGCAAGTTTACTAGGAAAAAACGTGTCGACAGACTAGAACAAAGAAAATAAAAATAAATAAACAACATTGTAAAAACAATAGCTCCCTCGCTACGCTTGGAATCTAAAATAATAACACAATATATACGAATTCAAAGTTAAATATTTGAGTTTCGAAATTTATTTTAAGTTTTGAAGTTATATGTTTAATATATACTGTTCTAGATAAAAGTTTCCAAAGTAAACATAAATGTTTTATCATTGTAGATACATTGTTCAATGAGTATTATATTTGAAAGTAAAAATATTATTTTATTAATAAATGATCAACATACACAATATATCATACCAATATAAATAATTAGATATAACAAAAAATGGAAAAAATCTGGGATGAGAAAACGTTACTGCGGATCAGACTTGCCAAAATTACACAACTGTAGTTTATACAGATTGTACCAGAAACAAACGATCAAATCTACGAACGGTACTATTTACATGTATAGCCTTAAAAATAGATTTTTGATATTTTGTTTTATGCCAAAACCGATAAAATCTCGAGTAGTTGAATTTACCAAAATTATTATTAAAATATACATAAAAATAAAAATAAAACCTACCAGAACATTTCTTGCAAAATTCACAAAAATGACTCACTCAATGTAGTTGTTTTTTTAATTTATTATATTTTTTACTTTTTTTTACAAATTGGCCATATTTATCTAATAGGTTCATTAAATTAACTCATAAATAAAAAATGATTTATTCCATGAAAATTTCCTGAAAAATGAATACATACAAATTTATGGGTCACGCCAAAATTATGATTTTGGACTCAACAGGTCGATGATAATTACACTTAGAATACCATGCCGTATGGCATTACGTTCAGTTGGTGAGTGGCGTATTTACGGAGAGGGATCAAGTGGACCAATCCCCCGCCTCATAGGCTCTATTAATGGTTAAGCAACTAATTATAATCATCAGTAATCGTAATTAAAATATTACAATTTTTTTTTTATATTGAACAAATAAATGTTTTCTACCTTTTTAAGCAAACTAATGATAAATGTATTAATTAGGTAATTGGAATCTCTGGTCAGTGGTCACTCGTCACATTAGATCGACATTAATCAGTAATCATTATCCTATAGAGTAATTATTTATTTCAACCTTTTTTAAACAATTTATAACTGAATTCTGTTGCTGAATATTATCTATTATAATAAAGATTTTGAAAGCTGATGTCATTCAAAATATTCTGATGAAGACAGGAAGGAAATTCAACACTTGGTTAATTTACCTATATTCCTCCTCAAGTGATATATAAAATATTAAAACAAGAAAATGAAATAGATGGGTATTTTATTTGTAATAGGTATTCAATTTTGTTTTAGCAGAACATTTAATCTCATGTAATGTGTTATACGAGTATATTATAATTTTGGGAATGTAGTTTGTATGTATGATGTTAATAAGTTATTATAATTTAAGGCAACTTATTAGAGGGTGATGGGATAGAGCACCCTCGAGTTGGTGATTACTGGATAAAATCATATTCCCACCAAGACAAAACCCTAAATACGCCACTGCAGTTCATCATTTGTTTTTGGTACACTCTGTATAAATGCAAATGCCAATTTAAAAATTCGCGTGTTATTTTATCGTACACTATAGTATTATATTATATACCTGCCTAGTACTTAATATAAGTGAAAAATCTTCGCATGTATTTTGACAATAATTCTCATTCGAGTAGGTAGTATATAACTAGTAAATCGAAACATCGTGTGCATAATAAACTCAGTCGAACGCATTTGGGCAAAGTATATTTAATAACTTTTTTCAACTTCTCCGACCAAATCCGGCAAGTTAACAGAGTAAAGGGTTCATATCGGTACACGTTTTCAAAAAAAAACTTTTGTAAACTTTGTAATAATTCACGTACCATATAGTGAGTACTGAGCACTTGTGTATGTATTTTATAAAAGTATATAATCTTATTCTTCACTTCTTCTTCGCCTTCATCCCAAAATCCTAGGGTCGTTCATTTTTATAAAAATATCTAACAAAATATTTTCTAATATTATATTTATTTAATCCAACCAACAGTAGGTC